GCAGGAATTCTCCTCCGAGAAAGCTCGAAACTCAGGTCTTAAATCCTCAGAAGGGATTTCCATCTTGCTATATGTTGATATCACTGATGATACACTCCCACAAGCAAACTATTAGTTCGTTCATGCCCCAAAAGTTCCGTAAGTACCTACTATGTATGCACAGCACTGTATTAGGATCAGTGGATTAATCATGGTCTAGAACAGGAAAGGAAATACACAGCAAGCACACTGTAATTCTCCTATACTTTGCCTTAAAACAGACACCCATCTTCTCCAAAGCCTGGATGTGGTCTCCAAATCCATCTCCACATAGGGCTCTAGGCAGTCATCTCAATCAAACAGAACTGACATCCACAGTAACCCTGTTTGCAATCTTCGCACTAGAACATTGCCCACGCTGAGAGAATATGGAGACAGCAAAAGCCCAAGCAATGGTCAGCCGTTGTGGAATAAGGTGGGGAATTTGCATACAGCCCACAGCTGGTGGGGTGACACTACAGGCTGAGAGCATGAGCAGTAGTGCCAAGGAAGCTAAGAGCACAGATCCTGCTCTGTGACCTCCGGCAAATCACTTCACCTCTCTGAGCCCCAGTTCTCATTCAGAAAATGGGGCTGGTGATAACAATACCTACATCACGGGGGTTATGATGATGAGTAAATGATGTGATATCATGTAAAATACTTAACAATGCCCGTCTTAGAGCAAGCTGTTTGCTTTTATTTATTAAATATGGGCTGTATTTGGGTAAAGAAGAATGAAAAACAATACCCTATTTCAAATTACTCAGTAAAAGAACATCGTGTACATTTGATAAGATGAAAATATTTTAGGCCCATGTTCCAGAACTAGAGTTATCTTGCTTCTACTGGAGACGTGCTTGTTAAACCTCACAGAGCCCGTCCCCAGGAGCTACCCCACAAAGGTGTGATCAGCACATAGATGCCTTAGCTGAGGTGCTGCCCCCCCAAGAAACACACCCCTCCTACAGAGCAAAGTATAGAATGCTGTGTGTTCTCCCCAGATGCTGTGAGGTACCTAAAAGGCACATATCCTTTGGTTTACAAAAGGGGATTCTCACCCAGCACATGAAACACTTCAACAGGAGCTGAGTCCAGAAATCCTTGAGAATGCCAGGCATACTCTGCCCCTGTTCAGTCATCTTCATTGGATGATATTTACCATCATTATATTACAAACATGATGTAAGTCCTGTGTAGATGTGCAGGAAATACAGAGAAGGCAAAGATGAAAAGCATTCATAGTTCTACCACCTGGGGAGAAAAAAATGAACACTATGGTATTTATCCATCTGCATTTTTCTCTTCTGCATTAAAATTTTTAATGGGATTTTTAATTAATTTCTACTTGAATGTTCTCTCGCTCTCTCTGTCTGTCTCTCTCTCTCTCTGTGTGTGTGTGTGTGTGTATCTCCTAGTTTATCATTACCAGTTCAAGATCCAGTTCATCAACGAAATTGAGAAACCAGTAGAACCAACTTTTACCATGTCGCTACTCGGAACCAAAGAGGAAATGCAGAAGATCCCCATCACTCTGTGAGTATGAGGTGGAGCCGGTCTGTGGTGGGACGTGCTGATTGTTCTCACAGGGTCTGGATGGACTGTGCTTCTCCATGGTCAGCTCAGACACAACTCAGTGCCCATCTCTCCCAAGGGGGATGATGTCAATAGCAGAAGGGCACCTGGCTGTCTTTCGGTGTTGGGATCCTTCCATGTCTTCGAGATTAGAGAGTAAAGTTGATAAAGATACTTCAGAATCTGCATTTAAATCTTGCTCTTAATTGGTGTGCCCTTTTTATACATGGTTTATCAACAACTGTCATGTAGCATTGTTTTAACAGAAGTTCCTATTTATATTGTGGTGGAACATTACTGGGGAAAGAGCCTGGTGTGGGTGTGCTGTGTCAATCACACCTACGGAGAACTGCACCAGCCCCACTGGCTCCTCGTAGGCTTCTTCCTAGAAGATAAGAGGGAAGAGCCTAAGCCAAAGGAAGTTTACTACTGGGTCATCGGAAATGTCATGACACATATTTGCATAGGAAAACTTAGAAAAATATGTCATGATTTTCCCAATGCCCTAATAGGTTTATGATGGTAGGACTTCTCAGAAACTTTCCAACATGCTAACACAGAAAACGTTACGGCTTTCTCAGTTTTATTGTCTGGAACCCCTTTTTATCTAGGCACACCTATTGCTGTCTCTATTAATAGCCTGTCAAGCCCCAGTTTGAAAAATGCAACCAAAATACCATCTCAAGTCAGCCGGGCAAAGCTAACTCATCCTGAAAGTGTGTGAGCATATGCTGTTCCAACCAAACTGACCAGGTCTGCTTTCCTCTGTATCTTCAAGGGGCGGAGGAATCACTAGTAATAAAACCTACTCCTTTCTTATCACGTTGGATTCGGACATCGGCGAGCTGGTCATGATCAAGTTCAAGTGGGAAAACAGTGCGGTGTGGGCCAACGTCTGGAACACCGTCCAGACCATCATCCCATGGAGCATGGGGCCCCACTACTCGGGCCTTGTCCTGACGACCATCAGAGTCAAAGCAGGAGAGACTCAGCAAAGGTGACAGCCGCTTCAACCACCTCATGTCTATTAAGCACCTACATGGGCCAGGCAGTTTGGCAACTTAATACATTTATCACATGACTAGGCATCATTCTAGCCTAATGATGGCGTGTGGCTATTCAGAGGGGTGACGTGACCATCCCGAATTCACAGCGCCCTAGGCAGAAGGATGAAGATTTGTACTTGGGGACTTCTGACTTCCACCCCAGCCCCTTCCCACTGGTCACGGTAAACAGTCACCTGTCTGGAGTTTGAGAACCACCTCAACAGCCCATTTCTCAAACCTCGATGTGAAATGAATCAGGTGGTGTCAGGGTGCTGGCCCAGTGTACTACTGACAGATGGGACATTTCTCTTTCATTGTTTACCCAGAGAAATGCTTTTTAATAGATCAAATTTCAAAAACTTTAATTTCCTTTTTTTTTGGGGGGGGAGAGCTTTTTGCTATAGGGTGCGTGTGCTCTCCAGAAAGACAAGAGAGAGACAGAGAGACAGAGAGCGAGAAATCACCCCCCCCAGGGGGGGATGGCCACACCACAATCCCTTCTCCTCCATTCTCCTCTCAGAATCTTGGGCATGCACACTTGCCTGGCATGAGTTTAAGCCACCGGGTCCAGGACTCAAACCACAGTCAATTATATGGGAGTCCAGCAACATAGCCATTACACCAGCTGCTAGTCCCTCAATTGCCTTCTTTCTGTGGTGGTGCCTTTCAAATCTTAGATGCCAGAGAATCGCAGGAAGCGTATTAAGTACACAGAATTCCCAGATCCAACTACAGAGCTTCCGACTCACTGTGGTCTTAGGAAGGGACTCGGGATGCAGGTGTTTTAATAAAAGCCCTAAGAAATTCTGGTGTGGACCAATGGACTGCCTAGATGTACAGCTCTGTTGATTTAACATCTCCCCTGGCCTCAACGCCCCCGGGGACAAGCAGGGTGTAAGGAAAAGGAACGATGGCCCAGTTGCTTCTGTAGTCTTCTCAGCAGAGGGAAGGGATGCCCAACATGGTTTGCCATGGCAGCCACGCCTTCCCACAGTGCTCCAGTTCCCCATGGCAGGACAGTTCTGTGCTTCCCAGGCCCTTTCCCACATCAGCCCTTCTACATCCGCACCTGTCTTCCCTCTCCCACCTTCCTTTGTTGGGAAGCCCGTTGGCTTGTCCTCAGGAGAGAAGGAAAAAGAGCAGGTTTCTAACCTCTGCACTATACTCACCCCTCACCCCTCAGGCTCACCGCCAGGAGCTGGCCTATGGCAGATCTATGCCCCCTTGTGTCCCCTATACAACCCCCTTCTGAGGTTTTATCTCTTTAGGATGCAAAAATCCTGGCGATGACAAAGAGCCTACTCTGTAGTCTGCCAACAGATTTCTCCTCACTGTACTGCTTCTCTCCTTGTACACACTCAGTTATTCTTACGTGGCTTTTTGACCCTTTAGAAGAGCACTACCCCTCCCCACATTTGCTCACATAAGGGGAATTCCTCAGTTAAGGGACAACTCTTTGTGTACTGGCCTAAAAGGTTGTACATAAGACATTACCTCCTCACTGGTGTATACCCACATGGTCCTAAGGAAAGAGAAGGGAGAAGAGGCTGGCTCCCACTCAGCTCCCAGGCATGTAGGCATTGTATTAGGTGCTCCATAGCTTTGATCTAATATAATCTTTCCCATGGGGACCAGCAGTTGGTGTAATGGCTATGTTGTTGGACTCCCATGTAGTCGACTGTGGTTCGAGTCCTGGACCCGGTGACTTAAACTCACGCCAGGTACGTGTGCATGCATGCCCAAAATCCCAAGAGGAGAATAGAGAAGGGATTGCAGTATGGCCATCCTTTCTGGGAGTGATTTCTTGCTTTCTGTCTCTGTCTTTCTGGTGAGTGCACATGCTCTGTAGCAAAAACCTCTCCACAAAGAAAAAAATAATAAAAATCAATCAATCAATAAATAATCTTTCCCATGACCCTGAAATGGGTAGCACTAGCTGTGCAGCCTGAGACTCACAGTTTCCCCACCTGGGGGCAGTGCTAAAAATTGCCCCAGCCCAGATCTGACTTCTGATATAGCACCCCTTTGTTGCCCAGGTAAGTTTCCAGCAGTTCCTTCCTCTGTTAGTCTTTACCCTGTTCTCTGACTCTCTTTAACAGTGCTGGACATTTACATACGTGTGCATCAAACCTTCCTTCCTCAGGGCTGTAAAAGGTACATGCAAAAAAAGGGTGAGGGGTTATAGGGCCCATAGGTTTTAAGTTGAAAATATAATAATCATCTGAGTTGTGGCTCTTGGAAGAAAGAAACTCCATGTTCTAATTAAAAAGGCAAAATGAACTGGGACCAGCAAATGGTGCATCAGTTACATCACTGGACTCCCACATGGCCAACCACAGTTCAAGTCCCAAACCCGGCAGCTTGAAACTCATGCCAGGTACAAGTGCATGCATGCCCAAGCTCCTGGGAGGAGAATGGAGAAGGGATTGCAGTGTGGCCATCACCCTGGGTGATGATTTCTCTTCCCCTCTCACTGTCTTTGTGTTTCTCTCTCTCTGGCAAGCACATACACCATAAGACAAAAAATCTCTTAAAAAAAAAAAAAAGAGAAAGAAAGAAAAAGAAAACAAGATGAATTAATGGTGTGCTCCATCCCAGAGTCTCTCATACTTGAATGTGAGTACAGACCATCCGGGTGATGTTAACCTGCAGGCTCTGCTGCAGGTCTGGAGCGGGGCCTGCGATTCTGCATTTCTAACAAATTGCCAGGAGATACTGTTGCTGCTGACTCACAGAGCACATTCTGACTAGCAGGAGTTTAGCTTTACATCGTCGAGGAAGTCTATGGAGAGAGTTCAGGGTGGTGTGGTTGGGGCCATGCTGTGCAGGCTTTGAGGAGGTCAAGAGGCATCCCAGGGAGACAGGCAGTGAGCAAAGCCATTGTAGGCAGAATCAGATGGACCCCTGCATAGCCAGCCCTAAACTCACATTGCAACTTCACTGCTTACCCTCTGTGTAGGCTCAGACAGTAACTTCGCTTCTTTCAGACTCAGTTCTCTAGTAATACATGGGAATCATACATGCATTTCATGAGATTAATAACTACCAGTTTTTAGTATCTTTTGCACGCCAAAATCCCAGAGCCAAGATGTCAAACACTAAACTCATACTTTTATCTCTCTGTTACGTGCAAGGGGAAAAAGTAGGTGAAGTAACTTGTTTTATAGAATTCCACGTGAGGTTTCTTTCCCCAAAGCACAAAACCAGGGGTGAGCAGGCTTGTGCAGCAAGACAAAAGTCACTGGCTAAAGAGAATGATAAGATGTTCCGTTTCCCAAATAATTGCATAAATGCAAAACAAAAGTCAATGAGATTATCACTGGCTACCCATTAGTTTGGCAGGATATTATCCAGAGTTAGTGACAGCGTGGAGAAATGGACGTTCTCACATTTTCACATTCTCTGTCCATTACAGACATTTTGCAGAGGTTTTCATTCACTAGCTAACAATTGGTGAGTCCTTACACTGTGCCAGGCACTGCGTGAGCACCAGGTATACAGCAGTGAGCAGAACAAAATGCTACTATTATCAAAACTTTAAACAGATGTGGGGCCAGCAGATGGCATGGTGGTTAGGGCGCTGGACTCCAACATGGCCGACCGTAGTTCAAGTCCCAGACCTGGCAACTTGCTTTCTGGTTTTCTCTCTCACTTTCACTCTTGCTCTGTCCCTCTCTGGTCAAATTAAAATAAATAAATAAATCTAACTAAAATAATTCTTTTAAAAAAATGTTTTTAATTTTCAATAGATGTGATAACTTGGGACCCAGAATTTTACTTCTAGGTGTCTATAATATTTCCAAAATATTTGTGTACATACTCAAAATGTCCTCAAAGGATAGATGTGTACAAAAATGTGTGTGGCAGTACTATTTGTAGATAACAAACTAATGGGGAAACCTCAGAGCCCATCAATAGGAAATGATAAATCATGTGGTACATCCATACACTAGGGTATCCTACAATGGATGAAAAGGAATGAAACAGACTTGTATGTATTGACAAGGACAGGTCTCCAAGAACATTACTGAGGGACAAGGGAAGTTTGCAGGAAAATACATACAGTATAACTCCACTTGCTTAAGAAAAAAAACTGTGTGTAGGTACATCGACATATATTTAAATGCCTAAGAATAGATCTAGAAAGACATAAATCAAAACCATGCAAGTAGGGAGGAGCATGGTGGTAGAGAAATGTGATAAGGGGACGGGTCTTTAACATTTGGCTTCACATATTTCTTTACCATTTGAATTTTTCAAGAATGCATTCATAAATTACTCATAACCCTTTATTAATTTAAAACATCTGATTTAGTAAAGATTTGACCTTAGATGTAATCGAAAAGAAAAGGAAGCCATAAACTGGAATTCCCTGTGTATATGTGCGGATCTATATTTTAACAGATGCAGTTGAAGCTAGTAACACAAAATGGCATTCAGGCCAAGCGAATGGTCAAAGCAGTCTAGCAGATGGTTTCTGAGAGAGACCCCAAACACGTAGTAGCTTCTGCTTTCTCCAGACATTTGCACCAATAAGAGGAAGAGGCATGACTCACAGGGCTGAGCTCGGCAGAGGCTGATGACAAGTGGCTTCATATCAAGACTTTTCAGAACAGCACTGACAAACTGGAGCTCATCCAAAGAAGAAAGTAGGGGAAGTCAGCCTGCCTGGGAGGAGCAGTTGAGGAACTGTGAATGTGTGTCCAGAAGTCAGGGCAGTGTAGACAAAGAATACAATGACAGAAAGTCACCCTTGACTCTTTGATGAGCTGGTATAAGGAAGAACAAAAGGAAGTTACCCTAGGACTGGAAGTTCTTTTTCTTTTTAATTGTTTTACTTAATTTTATTCATTGTCATTTTTATTTTATTGTTTTGAAGTTGACCAGAGAGAGACAGAGACAGAGAAGGAAAGTGAAAAGCAAGCTGCCAGGTCTGAGACTCGAACCACAGTCAGCTATGTGGGAATCTAGCCACTTTAACCACCACACCACCTGCCAGACCCAAGGACTATCAGTTCTTATAGAACTTACTCATCCCAGTGCAGAGCCCCAGGAAGCCTTCCATCATTACTTTCACTGACTTGGGTTTTGTTTTCCCCTAAAGTTAGAAAAAAAATATTTGCAAACGTAAGAATCGAATTTTAAAAAATACATCATGCACCTTGCATCAATCGAGTTGCATTTGATGAAGAATGAGATGCTTGAATAAGCTCTCTCTAAAACTTAATGCTGTGTTTGCTTTGTGTTTTCTATTCAGAATGACATTTTGCTCAGAAAACATGGATGATCCACAACTTCACCCAACCCAGGAGAAAATCTTTGTGAAATGTAAACTCTAAAAAATTAAAGTGAAAGATCAGATGAGATTTAATGAAGATACAGTGTAAAGAATAAATGAATCTTATTCCTTATTTGGAATGGTTGCCTTATTTAGAAACCAGTCACATAAAAAACTGCATAAATTTCAAAGTTCAGATTTAAAGGGGAGTATGATTTCACTATTATAAACTAAGTGTTTAAAGCCTATATTATACAACTAATTTCAAGTACTAGTACAATTAAAATTTTTCCTATTTTATCTCTAGTTAAATGTTAACATATGCAGGGGCCAGCAGATGGCATAGTGATTATGTTGCTGGATTCCCACATGGCTGACCCGGTTTGAGTCCCAGACTCAGTGGCTTGAAAATCATGCTGGGCACGTGTGTGTGTGTTCCTAAGATCCCAGGAAGAGAGAAGATTGAGGTGTGACGATCCCCTATGGGAGGTGATTTCTCACTTTCCCTCTCACTTTCTCTGTCTCTTTCTCTCTCCCGCAAGCACATGCCCTCTAGGGCAAAAACCTCTAAAAAATAATAATAAATAAAATAAAGAAAAAAAATAAATGTTAATACATGTAAATACTACAAATATAAGAGCCATTGTAGATCTGTTGTTCTAATTTAGTGTCATTTACAACTTAGTTAAATTTCCCTACTAGGTTTATTCTGGTGAGTTTTTGAACTGTGGGAGGCTGCGCACCAGCATATCGCCGGTTTCTCAGAGAGCAAACAATTACACAATGCCAAAGGCCTGATTGGCTCCCCTTCAAAAATCTCACCTTCAAAACCATGCTCTGATTGGCCACTTCCCATAGCAAATCGGTGAGCTTAGAATCCCTCAGATTTGCATATCCGGCACCTCATGATTGGTCCACAAAAGCAACCAATCATAACCCACCTTTTACAATCCTTCATTCAACCAATCACTGCCCACCAGCATGTATATAACCAAGATCCCTGGCCCACAATCGCCAGACAACCCTGAAGAGTTGTGACACTGCGTCATCTCCAGACAACCCTGAAGACCCTGAAGAGTTGTAACACCACTGTAGTCTCTGAAGGACCCTGAAGAGTTGTAACACCGTGTAGTCTCCGGAGGACCCTGAAGAGTTGTAACACTGTGTTGTCTGCGTGCTGCCCAAAATAAATGGATGACCCTGAAGAGTTGTATGTAACACTGTGTCGTCTCAATTTTCTAACACTGCGCCCATCTCCGTGTTGTAACACTGCGCTGCTTGTCGTGTCTCTCACTCCTTCCCTCAGGAAACCTGTTCAACTGTCCCTGGGGTCAGGACATTGAACCATGCTGAGCACTTCAATAATGCAAAATTCTACTTAGCCACTAGTTATGTGCACAAAAGTACACACCTCTAAAGACCATGCAGCTTGGCCCAGCCAAGGTGGTGCCGGTGATAGAGCATTGCTCTGTAATGCAGGAGCCACATGGAAGATCAGGTATTCAGATCCCAGGTCAGACTGGAACTCAAGGATACTTGTCCCTCTCTCCCTCTCATGAAAGAAATAAAATAAAATTTAAAAACTTAGAAAATACAATTCACTACAAGAAGAAAACTCATTAAACTAATGGTTGTAGCATATAATCATTTCTCTGAACCAAACACGAAGAAGTAGAAATCTGCTAAGACTATTAATGATAATAATGAAAGATGATGGCTGGTCATTTTAATAATTAAATGACTAACTAAATAAATAGAATACTTCCCTTTTACTAATGCTTAGAGCAAAAGCTAATGGAAAACTTAGACTATCTAAAAGAGTTTGCTCTGGACCAAATGTTTGTGTCCCTCCAAAATTCTTGTATTGAAGCCAAAATCCTCAGTATGTTGGTACTTTGAGGTGGGACATTTAAGGAATGGAAGGCCATGAGGATGCAGCCCTCATGGATGAGATTAGTACCCTTTTAAGGACTGACAGAGACCAGAACTGTTTCCCACCATGTGAGGACACAGTGAGAAGCCAGCTATCTATAAACCAGAGTATATGCCCTCAGCAGACACCAGATCTGCTGGTACTTTGATCTTGGACTTCCTAGCCTCCAGAACTGTGAGAAATATATGTTTGCTATATAAGTCATCTAGTCTATGGTAATTTGTTATAGCAGCTTAAACTGACTGAGACAGAGTTAGATATCAATTCTTAAACTGTATAACACATGAAATAACGATGTTCTGACCAGCAAATTCCAACACAAAGCCCATGATGGAAACCAATACTAGATATGATCATCAACTGGCTGTGTGTTTCAAGTGATCCAAAAGGAGGACACACCATACACAGTGAACAACCTACTCTGCCCTACAAATAGTCTCAGTTAAATACCACTCATCATTCACACTCTCTTCTCTCCAGCAGGGTTAAACCAGGGCTCCTGAAAACAAAAATCTGGAGATGTCTGCTTTTGACTAATTCACTTAAAGTTATCTTAATGGTTAACGTTTATTTCTTTTTGAAAGATCCACAAAACTAAAGGATTTGGGGTGAGGAAAACAGGGAATAAAACCACTGGATCAGCGTTCTGTCCTGAATGCTAATCTTGCCTGCAGAAGTAATTTACCACACTTTTAGGTAAAGTGTGTGCATCTCTAGAATTGATAGATATTAAAATGAATGCTGTTTTCCTCATGTCTAAAATACTAAGGTTTATTATAAAGTTATGTCTATATTGGGGTGGTACATTTCATCATTATTCAGAAGGAATTTAAAACACCACTTTTAAAACATAACAGGTCCAGCCCAATAGTAGAGGGGCTGAGGATCCAGATTCCATGTGGCCGACTACAGCAGTGCAAGCCCTAGCCGCTTGAAAGCACATTGGGCACACGTGCATGCCCAAAATCTCGACAGGGTGGAGAAATGGAAGAAAAGGAGTTCTAGCATATCCTGTTGAGAGATACTGTCACTCTCTCTTCCTGGCAAGAACACACACCATTAGACAATAAATACATAAAAGTAAAAACAACACAAAAGCTCTCTATACAAGAGGATTTCAAAAAATTCATGGAAAGTCGAATCAAAGTATGAGTTTATTTGGGTACAAAAAATTTTCAAATCCATGCATAATTTTTTGAGAGGTTTTTGCTATCAGGCACATGCGCTCGCCAGACAGACAGAGAAAGAGACAGAGAGACTGAAAGCGAGAAATCACCCACCCCCCAGGGGGGATGGCCATGCCGCAATCCCTTCTCCTCCATTCTCCTCTTGGGATCTTGGTTACACACACGCACATGCCAGACATGAGTTTAAGCCAACAGGTCCGGGACTTGAACCACGATCGACTACATGGGAGTCCAGCGACATAGCCATTACACTAACTGCTGTTCCCCCATGCATAATTTTTTAATAATAAGCCTTCTCCATAAACACTCTGAGGACCTCTTATATAGCCTAAAGATTCTGTGCATATGTATACCAGGAGACATGTTGAGAATATTCATCAAAGCCTGGAAATCATTACAACCAGAAATAACTGCAAAGATCTCCAATATAATATATAAAAGAACTGTAGTGTGTGTGTGTATATATATGTATATATATATTTTTTGTAAGAATTATTTTAGGACCAGTAGATAGCATAATGGCTACATTGCTGGATTCCCATGTAGTCGACTGTGGTTCGAATCCCAGACCTGGCAGCTTAAAACTCATGCCAGGCATGTGTACGTGTGTGCCCAAAATCCCGAGAGGAGAATGGAGGAGAAAGGATTATGGTGTGGCCATCCCTCCGGGGGTGATTTCTCACTTCCTGTCTCTGTCGCTGCTGCAAGTACACGAGCCCTATAGCAAAAATCTTTCTCTAAAAAAAATTTTTTTAAAGGTTTTATTTAATTAATTTATTTATTTTTATTTGACCAGAGAGGGACAGCGAGAGAGAAATGGAACATGGGAAAGCAAGCTGCCAGGTCTGGGACTTGAATCATGGTCGGCCAAGTGGGAGTCCACCACCTTAACCACCATGCCACCTGCTGGCCCCAACTGCAGCATATTCTTAATAGAATGTTATACAGCAGTGAAAAAGATGAACTAAAGTTACACATGCAAGAAGAAAAACAGAGCAGGGACCAGCTTGAGGCAACGAGACATCAAGGATGCAAATGTAAGGACACAGTCATGGCCTTGCATTTGCAAAAAGACACCATAAATACATCGAGTAGATACAGGCAAAAGTAAACCATATTGTCAACAATAGATAAACAGGTGGCTTTATTTAACTTTAAGTAAAAGCAATAAAATCACAACCACAAAAGTGAGACTGTGATACCTCTAGGGCTGAGGAAGGGCATACCGGAATTTCCAGTGCCAGCAACATTCTCCTCCTTACCAGAGGTGGTGATTACATAATAGAACCATTCTGTAAAGTATACAGATGTAGTTTGTGTACTTTTGTTATGAATACCACATTTCATAATATAGAAAAAAAACAAGGAGCTAAAGGGGGATAATTAAACAAACATGTTTTTACCATAGTGCAATGTGCTCTGGTATTAATATAGCTTCATAGGAAATGTAATTAGAAATGATTCCATCTGCAGTAAGAAAACACTAAGTATCACAGCATGTCTTAACATTTTGGACAGAGTATTCGGTAAGCAACCAACAGGACCGTTGTTCACCAGAACATTCATGACTCCCCTCAGTGTGTCCAAGTCTGGTTCCCAGTGCTGCTGTCAGCGGATTATTTTCAGTTGGGGAGATGTGTTCATTGACATCACATATCCTGAAGTACATTTGAGTCGGGAAGTCAAATAGGGAAACTGAATAATGCAGCCACATCTGTTCATTGCACATGCAAAACACTGGCTGATGCACTGATTATACACACCTCTCTCCAAAGAATCTGCATCTATGAGCCCACTCACAAAGATAACACTGGCATCTTGCCTTCCAGGCAAGAACTTGTTTGAGATTCCACTTGTAAGAAAGCACAAGGAAAGAAACGGAGCGTCGATTACACTGCAGCTGGGCTCTTAGAGGTACGCTGGAGAGGAGGAGATGGGCACTCCGTTCAGCATTAAATGAACACACTCTGCTACATAGTGAAGCTCACTGTCCTCCATATTCACCTTGAGTAA